CAGACAACAGCTCTGAGCCTGGGGACTAAGGGACACTGGGAGACCTAGGGACACTTGGGAACACTGAGACACTAGGGGGCACTAGGAGACCTGGGGACACAGACACTATGGGAAACTGGGAGAGACATAGGGGCACTTGGTGACATTGAGACACTAGGGGGCACTTGGAGACATGAGGACACTAAGATACTAGGGGAAACATTGAGACATGGGGACGGTGAGAGACTTGGGGACACTAAGACATTAGGACACTAAGCGACATGGGGACACTGAGACACTAAGAGAACATGGGGACCCTGAGACACAAGGGACACAGTGGCCCCTAGTCGCTCAGTGTCCCTATTTCTCCCAGCCAGTGTTCCCATGTCTCCCATTGTCCCTAGTCCCCATTGTCAGTGTCCCTAGTTTCTATGTTCCTACTCTCTCAGAGTCCCCTAGCCTCTCAGTGTCCCCTAGTCTCTCATTGTTCCCATGTCTCACATTATCCCAATGTCAGTCTCATGGGGGACACTGGGAGACATGGGGACTCAGACTCTAAGGGACACTGGGAGACATGGGGATACAAACAGTAGGGGACACTGGGTGACATGGGGACACTGAGACATGGGGACACTGTGCGACTTTGAGACCTAGGAGACATGGGGCACTCCTATGTCTCCCAGCCAATATCCCTAGTATCTCAGTGTAACTGGTGTCTCTCAGTGTCCGTGGTCTTCCAGTGTCCCTAGTGTCTCAGTGTTTCCTAGTCTCCCAAAGTCCTCTAGTCTCACAGTGTCCCCATTTCTCCCAATGTCCCCATGTCTCCCAGTGTCTCAGTGTCCCCTAGCATAAAAGAAAAAATCTCAGGCACTTACTGTGATAGATTTATGCAGGTTTATTGGACACCACAACGTTTCGACCTGTACCCAGGTCTTTATCAAGTCTCCAGTGTCCCCTATGTATCACAGTGTCCCCTATGTATCACAGTGTTTCAGTGCCCCATGTCTCTCAGTGTCCCTGGTGTCTCTCAGTGTCCGTAGTGTCTCAGTGTCCTTAGTGTCTCAGAGTTCCCTAGTCTCCCAGTGTCCCCATGTCTCACAGTGCCCCCAAGTATCTCAGTGTCCCCTAGTATAAAATAAAAAAATCTCAGGCACTCACTGTGATAGATTTGAGCAGGTTTATTGGGCACCGCAACGTTTTGACCTGTAGCCAGGTCTTTATCAAGTCTCCAGTGTCCCCTATATATCACAGTGTCCCCTATGTATCACAGTGTCTCAGTGCCCCATGTCTCCCAGTGTCCCCTCATGTCTCAAAGTCACCCAGTGTCCCCATGTCTCCCAGTGTCCTCAAGTGTCTGTGTCCCCAGGTCTCCCAGTTTTCCCTAGCATCTCAATGTCCCCATGTATCCCAGTGTCCCAATGTCTCTCAATGTCCCCTAGTGTCCTAGTGGCATGGGGACACTGGGAGACCTGGGGACGCAGACACTAAGGGACTGGGAGACATGGTACACAGATATGCCCCCTTTTTGGGTATGCTCGCCCTTATGGCAGTTCTTGTTATGTGATTTGCATCAGTGCCCCACCCTTTTACCCCGTCCATAGACGTCCCGCTTTATTGAACACTGCTGTTAGGGGGTATTGATTTACTTGAAAGATGAAAGCATGAGATGAGCATAGGGCGGGGTAGGCAACCTTTTAGTAGAAGAAAAGAGAAAACTGTGTTTAAAAGGCGCTTATAGGTTATGAAGAACAGTATAGATAAATGCTGCAACACTCTTGTGGGGGTCCCTCTCACCCACCTCAAACTGGAAGAATTGTAGAAAGAGGTAAAAAAAGCCAAAGGCAATTCACCTATATGAGTGGAGCATATAGTGATGGTAACAGGCACCTACCCAACTCAAAGGGTCATCTGGTCCTAATATTGTAAAAATCACTTCCAATTTCAGCACATATACAACAAAGAGAGAAACATATACAAAATCATAGTGCAAATCTGTATAACCATATAGAATTTACACTGACAGATATACTGACACCCACATACACCGAGAAATACTGACACACACACACAGGCACATACACTGACACACACAGACTGATATACTGACACACACACACACACAGACATACTGGCACACAGACAGATATACTGACACATGCATACACATGCACTAACAGACATACTGACGCACTGACAGACATACTGACACATACACATACTGACACACACAGATATACACACACATATACTGACACACAGACAGACAGACATACTGACACACACACACAGACATACTGACACACACACAGACATGCTGACACACACACACACATACACTAACACACACATACACTAACACACAAACACACAAACTAACACACATACACACACTAACACAAACACACATACACTAACACACAAACACACACACTAACACACATAAACACACACATACACTAACACACACATACTCTAACACACACAAACACACACACTAACACACATACACTAACACACACACACTAACACACACACACTAACACACACATACACATTTTTTTTTTTTTTAAATGTAATCCCCAGCCTCCTTACCTTTGGAGTGCTGGGGGATTCTAAGGAGTCCAGTGGTGCTGCTGGGCTCCTGAAGGTGTGATCCAGTGGAAGGCAGAAGCGAGCGTAGCGAGGGAGCACTCAGTGCTTCCTCTTCAGCTCCCTCCCAGCGCGCGTAGGGATTACTTAGCGCCCGGAAGATGACGTCGTCTTCCGGCTCCGGCATCAGTCTTGATGCGGCGAGGGGCTTGAAACACTATTCGCGCCCTGCAACAACCATCCACTCCCGCGAATCAGCGGGCCTGGGGCCGCCAGAGACAGTGCCTCGGAGCCCCAAGAGGGCCCGGAACTGGCTGCCCGTTACCAACGTTAAAGCGGCCTGTGGGTGAGGGGGGGGTGACAGGGTGAGGTGGCAGGGTGAGGGGGGGTGATAGGGTGAGGGGGGTGACAAGGTGAGGTGGGGGGGTGACAGGCGAGGTGGGGGGGGTGACAGGGTGAGGGGGGTAGACAGGATGAGGGGGGATGACAGGTGGGGTGCAGGGTGAGGGGGGGTCAAAATTTACCTTTTTCCCTGGTGATCCAGTGGGGTCAATCTGTCCCTGATGGTCCAGTGTCCTGGATGGCTCCCTGGTGGTCCAGTGGGCTTTCCGGTCTGCAGCTCCGCCGGAATCAGAGCTGCAGACCACATGGGGATTGTCTCACGATCTCCATTCAGAGCGTTGCCGTGGTAACCCGCGGCAATGCTCTGATTGGCTGGAGAGCGCGAGACACCTCAGTCTGCAGCTCACACCCGGCGGAGCTGCAGACTGAGGCCAGCTCTCTCCCCGGGTGGACTGACAGGAGGGGCCTCGCACCTGGCTGCACAAAGGGCAAGCCGCCGGGCCCCCTCCTGTGTCGGGTCTTCGGTCATAGACCGAGGACCCGACATGTCAGTCTGCCCTCAGGCGATTTAGGCGGCTGCGAGGCCCCTGACTGTGCGAGGCCTTAGGCGGCCGCCTAAATCGCCTAATTAGAGAGCCGCCTCTGTCCACTAGCTTTGCTAGGTGGTTATGCTTACCCCTAGGACTAAGAAAGTTTGTAGGTCATTGATTCCTGCAAACTCTATTTCCTCCCATGTGGACAGATGGGGGATATCCAGGTCCCCACCGCTTCAGTACTGGTCACTCACCTATATTCCAGCACTACTCAGTCAGGCAGTGGAGTGGCACATGTCTGACCCTAAGATGGCACTGTATCCCTTCCATGTACTGAAGTCAGCAATAGATCCATGTCAGGATGGAGGTAGACTTTCTGTGCAGCATTTGATGCTATCTGTACACAATTTTGGCACCGCATTCAAATTCGATCACTGCAAGCCGACTCACCTGACAAGCAATCACCTTCCAGTGAAACCACGTCCGGCTCCGTGCTTTCAAGAAGACCTGAATCTAGGCAAACCCCACACCCACAGAAGCCACGTACATATTGGAATATCCCCTGGAAGACGGGAAGATGAACTGACAGAATGTGGAATTTATGAGTGGGTGCTGCTGATCACCGCGATCCACTATAGATGGAGAATTTCCTCAATGCTGGCATTGGCTGACTCTGCTGCAATGGAATGCACTACCCCCTATATCAGTAATGGCGAACCTATGGCACGCGTGCCACAGGTGGCACGCCGAGCCCCCTCTGTGGGCACGCGACCATAGGTCGCCGGAGGGAGGAAGCGTGCGCTCCGCTGGCGCATCCATAAGGCGGCACAAGTGGCCGACTTAGGACGCACTGGCGCGGCGGGCGCAAAGCCGGAGTGACCGGCAGGAGGTGAGCGCATAGCGCTTAGCGTTCCCTCCTGCCAGGCACTCTGTGTAGCGCTCTACCACGCTACAAGGTAGGAGACTAAGAGGGGGGGGGGGGAAGAAAACTGAGGGAGGTATGGGGGAGAAAACTGAGGGAGAGATGGGGGGTACTGAGGGAGAGATGGGGGGAGAAAACTGAGTGTGGGATGGGAGAAAAAAATGAGGGAGGGATGGGGGGAAAGAAAACAGTGGGGGGGAGAGGGGGGACGACATACACACAGCACCCCGGCCCTACACATATCACCCCACACAAAGACACACACACATCACCCCACACACACACACCACCACCCCCACACACACACCACCCCACACACAAACACACCACCCCACACACATAACCCCCCCCACACACACACACATCACCCCCACACACACATCACCCCCCACACAAACACATCACCCCACACACAAACACATACACTGTACTCCTCAATGCAGTGTGTGTACACTCAGCAGTCTGTCTGTGTGTGTACACTCAGCAGTCTGTCTGTGTGTGTACACTCAGCAGTCTGTCTGTGTGTGTACACTCAGCAGTATGTGTGTGTGTACTCAGCAGTCTGTGTGTGTGTATTTAGCAGTCTATGTGTGTGTGTGTGTGTGTATTTAGCAGTCTGTGTGTGTATTCAGCAGACTGTGTACTCAGCAGTCTGTGTGTGTATTCAGCAGTCTGCTAAATACAGACAGACTGCTAAATACACAGACAGACTGCTAAATACACACAGACAGACTGCTAAATACACATACAGACAGACTGCCGAGCACACACACAAACTGCTAAATACACACACAGAGATGTTAATTAGTTCGGACAACGGTATGAGTTGTTTTTTCTAAACTTAAACCTCAGTATTCAGGTTTAAGTGCCGTTTTGGCACTTTGAGGGGAAAGAAATTGGCATGTATTACGGTTTGGGCACTCGGGCTCAAAAAGGTTCGCCATCACTGCCCTATATGCTCCACACATTTAGCTCCATACAGTTCAAAACACTACAGTTATATTTCATTTTAAGTCACTGTGCATAAACTTGATTTAGTTTGTTATTAATTGCTACTTACCTGAAAGTGTTGCTATTAATGTGGTTGTTTCCTTACTCTCCAATTAGCTCTGGATATAGCCATATCTTGTTCTCCATATTTCTTGGGTTATGCGCTCCAGACTATATGATGTGATGCTATCTTTAAAAAAAAATTTAAACTGTTATTTTGTTTTCATACTCGCAATATCTAGAATTTCCTATGTCCGCCATGTTTTCCTTATGCCTCCAGACAAGATTGCTTCGCCTATTACCTATATAAAAAGTGCATTACCTCTAACATTCTGTATTATCCAAGATTCCAAATGCATTGTGTATACTGATGTACAAAGTCCTTATAAACATGTTTGTTTAACCATGCACTTCAAAAATAAAGAATGACAAAAACAAAAAGATACTCGGACAGAAGTAATGTATTGGACAATAGAACTATTTGGTTTGTTTTAACAGATAATAGATTGTTATAGCAGAATAACAGCTTGCACACACACACGCTCTCTCTATCTCTCTCCACAGAAATGTGAAATTACTGTTTTACCTCTCTGATATTTAAATATTTTAAGTATAGTAATACATTTATTATAAGAAACAGAATTTTATTGGGGTAAGAGTCAAATGAACAATGTTAACAATATCCTTATTTTACACTTTTTTTTTTTTAAGATGCACTGCCAAAAGGATAAAAGTAAACACATTTGATGAAAATAATCTTTATCACACGGATGGATTCAAATCGCAATGCTAAGCACACACTGAAAGCCTGACAATTAAATAGAGGTTACATTTTATTCCATTTCATGTTGCTTACTAAAGTCCTTGCATTTGAAAACCTCTTGCGCAGCAAATGCTGTGGTAAAGTAGCAATGCTATACATCTAGTGAATCTAAGCAGACTATTGATCAGTATATCTTAATCTCCCAACAACATATGCTTGTCATGGCTAATTGAATTACCTTAATGTGGTTTAGTTATGTGGTTTACAGAGCTACTGTCCTTGGGAAATTTTTCACGTCAACTGAGTTGAGACAACGAGGCTTTTTAGCTCATCAGTTCAAGTTGACATATATCAAAAGCACAAATGTGCACGTGTGTTTCCTATCCTTGAAAAATTTTCTTGGCTGAGTTCCAGGCACATGCTATATATTTAAATTACGGATATCTAACCTTGGCATTCCAGGTATTGTTAGAGTACAATTAACATAGCTCTATAGCACACACACACTCGCTCTCTCCCACTCACCTGACATTTGAAAAAAGCAAATGAGGATTCCATCCTATGAAAGAATAAATCACAATTAAATAAGATCAATCCTTAATTTGAAATTATAAAAGCTGTTGTGATAATGAACACTTGCTTATTTAGTTCTGTCATTTCATTCAACTGTGGGATAAAAATTGTTGTGGCTTATTCAGTCCTATGGAACTTTAAAGAAACACTGGTACAAGTTAAAGGGACACTATAGTCACCAGAACCACTACAGCTTAATGTAGTTGTTCTGGTGTCTATAGCATGTCCCTGCAGTTTTAGCACTTTAAACAATACCTTTTCAAAGAAAAGGCAGTGTTTACATTGCTGCCAAGTAACACAGTTAGTGGCAATCATTCAGATTAGAGGGCCTTCCTAGTCCAGTGCATACGTTCTGCATGGAGACATTGAATTAGGAGATGCTGATTGGTGCAGTGTGGTGTTATCCAGTGCATTCACAATAGCCTTCCAATGCTGGGAGGCAGAGCTCACTTTGAGTGCTAAACATAGCTTATCTGTCAGTCTGGCGTCACTAATTGTGGCCCCAGCTGACAGGGGGAATCCTCAGGTTTCCAATTCTACCTGGACTTTCTGGTACCAGCAGGTACACTATAGTCACCAAAACAACTTTAGCTTAATGAAGCAGTTTTGGTGTATAGGTTATGCCACTGCAGTCTCACTGCTATATTCTCTGCCATTTAGGAGTTAAATCACTTTGTTTATGCAGCCCTAGGCACACCTCCCTGCATGTGAGTTACACAGCCTTCCTAAACACTTCCTATACAGAGTCATCTAATGTTTACACCTCATTTATTGCAATTCTGTTTAATTTAGAGTGTCTTATACCCTGCTCTGTTAACCCCTTCAGGACGGAGTCAATAGTGCACGTTCTGATCAAAACAAAACATAAACAAAACTGGAATTTGCACTATATGTCTGTTCAACCGTAATTCACCGCTGTCACATTAAGAGCACGCACACTTATTATATATCATTTTGTTCAGGAGAAACAGGGCTTTAATTTATCATTAACTATTCATATATGGAACATAATTTATTATGAATAAAATTTAAAAAAAATGTGAGAAAATAAGATTATTTTTTAAATTTGTATTTCCATCTGACATTTTAGCTGTGAATGTCATAACACTGTTAGGTTTTACTGCAAAAAAATGCATATATTTGTAATCAGCGATGTCTCACGAGTACAACAGTACTCCTCATTAACAGGTTTTATGGTGTTTTGGAAAGTTACAGGGTCAAATATAGAATGTTCCATTTTCAAATTGAAATTTGCCAGATTAGTAATGTTACCTTTGAGACGGTGTGGTAGCCCAGGAATGAGAATTACCCCCATAATGGCATACCATTTGAAAAAGTAGACAACCCAAGGTATTGAAAGTGGGGTATGTTTAGTCTTTTTTAGTAGCCACTTAGTCACAAACACTGGCCAAAGTTAGCGTTCATATTTGTTTTTGTGTGAAAAAAGCAAAAAACGAATATTTGGCCAGTGTTTGTGACTAAGTGGCTACAAATTTCAATGTCAAAAAAATGAAACGTAAGCCTTATATGTGACTCTCTTCCTTTCCAAAACACTATAAAACCTGTACATGGGGGGTACTGTTATTCTCGGGAGACTTCACTAAACACAAATATTAGTGTTTTAAAACAGTAAAACATATTACAACAATAATATAGTCCATAAAAGTGCAGTTCGTTTGTAAAAAATGCAAAAAACATCACTTTTACTTAAAATATCATCGTTGTAATACAATTTACCAGTTTGAAACACTAATATTTGAGTTCAGCAAAGTCTCCCGAGTAAAACAGTACCCCCTATGTACAGGTTTTTTGGTGTCTTGGAGAGTTACAGGGTCAGATATAGTGCTTGCAAATTAAATTCTCTGCACTTTCTCCCTGTGTTGTCAGGCATATCAACAGGGCCGGACTGGCCCACCGGGATACTGGGACATTTCCCGGTGGGCCGTCGGCACCTGGGGCCGGGCAGGCAGCTGGCTGACCTGCGGCCACAGAGGGAGCTCTTCTTGTGGCCGCAGGGGGAGCTGGCTGTTCTGTCTCTGCTCCCCCTCCCCAGCGCGCTACAGAGAGACACACCATGACAGACAGAGACACACACACAACGACACACATTTTTACCTGTGTGCTGTCGGCCGCAGAGGGAGCTCTTCTGGTGGCCGCAGGGGGAGCTGGCTGTTCTGTCTCTGCTCCCCCTCCCCAGTGCCCAGCGGGAGCAGAGACAGAACAGCCAGCTCCCCCTGCGGCCACCAGAAGAGCTCCCTCTGCGGCCGACAGCACACAGGTAAAAATGTGTGTCGTTGTGTGTGTGTCTCTGTCTGTCATGGTGTGTACTTCTGTCTGTGTCATGCAATGTGTGTCTGTGTCATCGTGTCTGTCTATGTCATGGTCTGTCTGTGTCATGGTGTGTGTCTGTCTGTATGTCATGGTGTGTGTGTCTGTCTGTGTCATGTAATGTGTGTTTGTCTGTGTCACGGTGTGTGTCTGTGTCACGGTCTCTCTGTGTCGTGGTGTGTGTGCCTGTGTCATGGTGTGTGTGTCTGTGTCACGGTATGTGTGTGTCTGTGTCACGGTCTGTCTGTGTTATAGTGTGTGTGTGTGTGTCTGTCATGGTATGTGTGTGTCTCTGTCATGGTGTGTGTGTGTCTGTCTGCGTCATGGTGTGTCTGTCTGTCATGGTGTCTGTGTTTCTGTCTGTGTCACGGTGTGTGTGTGTTTCTGTCTGTGTCACGGTGTGTGTGTGGTTCTGTGTCTGTGTCACGGTCTGTCTGTGTCATGGTGTGTGTCTGTCATGGTATGTGTGTGTGTATGTGTGTTTTTACTCACCTTTTTTTTTTCCCCACGTCGTGCTGGTCTCCCCTCGACTGGCCCTGCCTCTACGGCTGAGATCATCCAGCTTGATGATCTCAGCCAATCCGCACTGACACAGGAAGCACCTCTAGTGACCGTCTGAGTGTCTGTCACTAGGAAGCAATGTAAACACTGCCTTTTCTCTAAAAAGTCAGTGTTTACATTGAAAAGCCTTCAGGGACAGGCTAGAGACACTAGAGCCACTACATTAAGCTGTGTGTGTGTGCGTGCCTGCTAGTGAGTGAGCTTGCTTGTGTGTGTGTGTGTGTGTGCCTGCTAGTGAGTGGGCTTGCTTGTGGGTGTGTGTGTGTGTGTGTGTGTGCCTGCTACTGAGTGAGCTTGTGTTTTTATGTCAATGACCTTATGTATATCAGTGAGATTGTTTGTCTATGAGGCTGTGTATCAATCAGCTTGTGTCAATGAGATTGTCTGTGTCTGCATGTGAGTATGCTTACTGTATAATTAAAAATTTTACTCTAAAAGGACCAATATTTTATAATGGAAAAAGCAATATATTATATATATATATATATATATCAATCATCTAGGGTGGCAAGACATAGCCTTACATATTTCATGCGACAATATATGGCGCAATGACTTATGGGGCTGGCATCGATTTTTTTTCCAGGGCTGCTTTGTAATCCCCAGTCTGGCCCTGCATGTCAATGAAAGTTGAATTAATCAAATCACATAATTATGTTAAAATATTACTTAAATATACACGTAGAATTTTAATATCTATGCATTTATAGATATTTAAATTCTATGTGTATACTAATGTAATCTTTTATGTAATTATGTGTATTTATCTATATATATATTTGCGGTTATTTGTATTTTATATATAGATGGATATATATAAAATGTCATTCTAAGTGTATTTTGTTACCAATATATATATATTAATAACAAAATACAGTTAGAATGAAATTACATATGAATATATAATTTATATTAAATTTTGTTTCAATATTTTATTTATTAATTTTATTTATTTATTATTGTAATTATACGTATATATATAATATATGTGTATATATCTATTATCAATATAATATATATACATATTATATATATGTAACGTCATTCTAAGTGTATTTTAATACTAATATATGTGCTTATATTAATATTAAAATACACTTTGTATGACGTTACATATATATAATATGTATATATATATAATATATATATATAATATATATATACATATATTATATGTTTATAAATATATTTATTTTATTTTATAACATGTCTAATTATTTTTTTTCATTTCCGACCAGCAGGGGGACTGTCTGACATTTCAGACAGTGCCCCTGCTGGAAGTTCCACAGCCAGCTATAGGGGGCCATGTGATCGCTCTTTGAGAGCGATCACATGGCCCCCGGAGGCTTCTTTTGCCGTGGGAGGGCTGCCTGGGCTCTTCAGGCAGTCCTCCCGAAGCGGAGCAACGGGTAGGTAAGTATCCCGGGCGCTCCAGGGCTCCAAGCCGTTACGGCGTTCTATGCCGCCGCAACGGCTTTAAAGCCCACTTAATGTGGGATGGCATAGAACGCCGTAACGGCGTTAAGGGGTTAATAGCTTGCTAGACTCTGCATGAGCCTCCTGTATATAATTCAAGTTCAATTTACAGAGTAGGAGCTAAAAAAATATTTTGAAATTTGATTGAAAGTGAAACCATTTTTTTTTCATGCAGGCTGTGCCAGTCACAGCCAGGGGAGTGTTGGTAGTGCTGTATAAACATAAACAAAAGTGGTTTAACTCTGAAATGGCAGTTACCTGAACTGCGAGATTGAGGGGAATTATGTATACATCAAAACTGCCTCATTAAGAACAAGTTGTTTTGGTGACTATAGGGTCCATTTAACCCTGCTGGTACTTTTAATGCATGATAGTGTATGCTGCTAATGGGCGATGAAACCCCACACTACTTGATGGCATAGGCCGTCATGTGATCCTTAAGTGGTTAAAATAGAAAAATGTTTTAGGGATTTCTGCTACTTAACTTCACTCCCTTACCAAGATTATGGTAAGCTTATAAACATTATATACTTTTCAAAGTTTTTCTTGCTTTATTTTGGATAGTATTATCATTTAAAATTTTGAAGTTACTGTTTAAAAAAAATAATTGTCTCACTGTATAACTGTGTGATTGCAACGCAGTGGAATATGTGTTGCTATAGAAGTTCTTGTAATTGTGTGCATGTGACTGTGTACGTGTTACCGTATGTGATTGTGTATATATGCATGTGACTGTGTATTCATATGGGGGGGGTGACAAAAAAAATCATAACAGTGTAAAAAAAAACACACAAGAGTTACTCAATAAGTAACATGGGATAAGAGACTAGTGACAGCTGGGGGGAAATACCTCAGTGTTGTACTCTCGCACATGTACTGAAATGCCAGGAGCTGAAAAGGAGTGGATGGTACCTGTGAGGCACAGATTCAGGTAAGTATAACTCATCTTCCCCTGCACCCTTGGTCCACCAGACACCCAACAGCAATGTTACCTTCAGTGGTCTTTGCAATTTATGCAAAGATGTCAGCTAGTGTCAGACACACCTTTCAGGTCCCTTCCCACTGTCCTGACTTTCTTCTGTGAAATCCCGTTTTTGGAGGCACCAGGTAACCTTCCCCAAAAAGTGTAGCACAAGTGTATTATTGTAATTGCTTTTGCTGCACTCAGGGCACTAGGACCCTCCAGAAAGCAGAGAAACAGTGCTCCTTGCATGTCGCCTACTCAATTGGTTGGCCTGCTTCATTAGCAGGGAGCCAGGGCAGGTCTACTGCCTTTGGGCAGAGCCAGTGACACTTGCATTACTGGCCTGCCCTCTTTAGCCCCTCCCAACCATGTCCTGCTTCTTGGGATGCCAATCTGGGGGGTGGTGGGAGGGGATGCTGTAGTTTGGATCAGAGATACAAGAAGGCCACCAAGTGTGATGAATATTATGATCACTGTAAGAACTTAATTTGCAAGTTCCAGTGCAGAAGTAACATGAACAAGTACTTAATCAACGTGACAAACTACACAGGAACAGTTTACTAGTTTTTTAAGTTGCACATTGGAACACATTTTGTAGCGCATGAGTGAGTGCATGCACACAGGTGGGTGCAAGGTAAGAACCGATCTGCCAATGGTGTGAGCCTACAATAAATATTTCATTTTATGTAATTGGGATATTAAAAAATGTATTTTGCTCTTCTCCTTGGCATTTATCCGAGATATCTCATTTAAAGGTCATGTAGATTTTCCATGATCTAAATTTTTTCTAAATAAAATGTTCTTTTTAATGAAATTACTTCCAATAGAAACTAATACTATGACTGACTATGGACATGTAGTATGCATCTGTGCTACAAATCCAAAATGCCACATTCCTATCAATTCGATATGGAAAATTGTCAATGTGATTGTATCCATCATTGTGATATGTTTAAAACTGATAAATATTTCCCCTTCAAGCCTGGTTCATAATTTTCCTTCTGAAAGATTCCCACATTTCGTGAGCAGTATGCTGCATCCTGCTCCCTAGTACTGGTGGACCCCCTATTTTATATCAAACTCTACTAAAGTAAAATAGCCTTCCAGAATATGTAAATTCGTATCACTCTACTGCCTCTCTGTACCTCCAATTAAATCATATCTGCAGCCACTGCTATGTAACATTCCAACAGTTTTGCATATTAAGCTTAACTGCAAAATACGGTTGAAAGTATTCTTCCTAGTAAAACTCTTTTTAAACAGAAGCAATTTGTTCTTGAGGAAGCGTACTCAAGCTATATTCCAGATTGAGCATAGAATGGAGCTTAATCTCGCATCATGCTTTGAAGAACAATATAAATCATTTAAGCCAGTAATGCATAGTTTGCAGAGAAATCTGACACTTTCTATTATGCACAACAAAGAATAGTTTGCGGTTTATCCTGATAACTCACGTTTGTTGGTCCTACAGTGATAAATAATTCATTAAATCAAGAGTTTTAGCTCACTTGTGACATTACAAAGATATTTAACTCAGCAACTCATACAGCGGGAAACATTCTTCATCTCATTTTCACCAATCTCTGTACTTCCTCTCTTCTCTCCACTGTTCCATTTCCTCTATCTGACCATCAGCTGACCTTTGACATTGGCATACTCCGTACCAAAATTATACCACCCTCGGTACAGGTCTCGCAGAAACCTCCACTGTCTTGACCTACAGCGGTTCTCCACCAACCTCCAAACTCTACTTTTAGCAATTTCAAACCTCACATGCCCTAGCTCTGCAACCTACCTCTACAACTTTGCATTATGTGTGGAGTGTGTCCTCTTGTTCCATTTTTTTTTTAAAAGTGCAGATTTCTAAAGAATCTGGTACTTCTATGAATGGAAAGATGTAAATATATCTACTA